CTCGGCATCATCCGGGTGCATCGGGATCTGGTTGTATCCGGAATATGCGTCCATGAAGCTCATTAGTTTGTGCCCTGAGGTACGTCCACCATATAATCAATGTGGGGCAAGGGGTAGCTGTCTTTGGGGCACGCCTTGTTGAGGTCGGAAAAGTCGATGCAAAGACGCCATGCCCCACTGGCCTTTCTAACCAGCACCGGGTTGGCAACCCAAGTTGGGTACCGGACTTCTCGGATATAATCATTGTCCTTGAGCTTGATCACTTCTTCTTCGAGAGCTTGCTGCCGGTCTGGCCCCAGCTTCCTCCTCTTTTGGACGACCGGCCTGACCGTGGGGTCGACCTGCAGCCTATGATAGGCGACCTTTGGGTCAATGCCGACCATGTCTTCGTGGGTCCACGCGAACACGTCCGCGTTCTCCCGAAGGAAACTGACTAGCTCGGCCTACAATGGCGCTGGCAGTTTACTGCCAATCCGAAGTTGCTTCTGGCAGGTCTCCTCATTGATGAATATGATTTCGACCTCGTCCATGGGCTCCGCCCGTTTTGTGCCCCTCTTTTCTTCGTATTGGGTTCGCAGGTCGAGCTCGTCTTCTTCCGACATCGGTTCCTTTCCTGCTCTTCGACCCCTATCCTGGTCCAGGTCGGGCTCGGCCCCTTTTTCCTGCTCGGCGTTCGTCCTGGCCTGGGGGTACGGACCTATCTTGATTTCCAGCATGTGGTCGCTTCCTGTACCGGGGTGAACCACCTCGGCGTCTGGGTCCATATGACCCCTCTCGACATCCGCTTCTCCTTCCACCTCGGTGCTTTCAACAACCTGTCCGGCACTTGGCATGATCGGGGGCGAACCTGTCTGGTTTCCCAGCATGCGGTTGCCCTCTTCCTCTTCGCGGGACGCGGCTATATTCGTCCCGGCTTCAGGGGCGGAGTTCGCCGCATTGATTTCCGCTCGAGGGATAGTCAAGACGCATTCCCGCGCCTCTCTCTGGTCTCCCCGATGAGTCCCTTCCCCGTCCGAAGTCGGGAACTTGATGGAGTAATGGAAAATTGAGACGGCTCCCCTCATCTTGTAGAGAGCCGTTCTGCCCAGGATGGCGTTGTATTCGCTCGGGCAGTCCACTATCTTGAAAGTTTCCAGAATTGTTCGCGTGGGCTGTCCCTTCTCCCCGAACTTGATCGGCAGCGTTACCTGACCAACGGGGGTTGTCATTTGGCCGTTGAACCCCTGGATCCGCTCCCGGTAGGGTTGCACTTCCTTCCTGTCAATCCCCATTTTCTTGAACGTGCTATAGTACAGGATGCTCGCATAGGCCCCGGTGTCGACCATTATTCGGTGGATCTTGATCGCCATTATTGGGGCCGTGATCACCAGGGCGTCTGAGTGGGGATGGTCGAACAGGAATGCATCCTCATCAGTGAAGGATATTTTGTTGGGCGTCGGCTCAGCCGCCGGCCTGCTTCCAGCGTGCACTACTCTCTGCCCGGCATAATAAGCCTGTCGGGCGTAGGCCTTTGTATGTCTCCTCGAAATGAGGGATTCACCCCGGCACGTGTTCACGCGCCGGGGTGAGAAATCAGCCAGGTCGGTTTCCGATCGCGGGGATCGATCTCTTTTTCTTCCCGCGGAGGTGCCGGACTCACCTTGGTGGGCCGGATTGAACATTAGGATCTCATTAGGCGCACCCTGCTGTGGTTTTTTTCTCCGGGGGTTCATGTCAGCATCTTCGTCGCTGTCGAGGTCGTCCCCGAAGCGACCTCCCTTCTTTCTTTTCTCGCCGGAGTGAGTAAACTTCTTGACTTGAGGGTCGTCAATCAGCTTGAGCAGCGCCGCGATCAAGTTACGGCACTGGTCTGTGTTGTGTCCATGTGCTTTGTGGTAGGCGCAATATCGGGACTTGTCCACCTTGTCTTTGTCGGTGAACATGGGTTTCGGGTCGGGTAACAAGCCCTTCGCTTTGATCTCCTCATAGACCGCGGCAGCACCAACGGAGAAGACGCCCTGGTAGCTTTCTTTGAGCTCCTCCGCTCTTTGCTTCCTCATGGCCCGCACCTCGGCAAATGTATTGTCGGGCTTCCCTGACTTATCTTTATTCTTGTCCTTGCTCGATGTGGCGTCCAGCACCGGGATGGACGAGGATTCCTCGGCCATTATGTAATTTTGGGCCTTGGCGAGGAATTCCTGGTAGGTGGCTGGCTTGTTCTGGCACAAGGACCATTTAAACAGGGTTTTCGGCTTCAGCCCGGCCTGCACGGAGACGAGCAGGGTTTTGGGATGGCACTGTTCCATATTTTGAACTCGGTCGTTAAACCGGGTGATATAGTCCTTCAGGCTTTCGTCCTCGCCTTGGACAATGTTGGCGATTGATTCCTTGGGGGCCAGGCTGATCTGCGACCCGATGAAGTGCGATCGGAATGCCGACCTGAGCTGGCCCCAAGTGCAGATAGAGTGCGGATACAAAGAATGGTACCATCTCTGCGCCTTTGGTCCCAGGGTCAGGGAAAACATGCGACAGCGTAAGGCGTCTGTCGCGCCGTGCAGGTCCATCCATGAGGTGTAAAGGCCGATGTGGGAGTCGGGATCCGAGTTTCCATCATAAAGCCCGAGCTACGGCACCTTGATTTTCTGGGGCACGGGCTCACGTAGGATGTCGGGAGAGAGAGGGGATGCGTGGTCCACGACACGTGGAATGGGTTGCGAGTAGTGGGGAGGCGATGTGCCCCTTAGGGGAGAGCGCCGACCTTCCAATTCGGCAATTCTGCGCTTGAGGGCCGCGACTTCGTCCGCGTCACGCCCAATGTTCTTGCCTCGCTCAATCAGGTCCCTGAGGTCGCGGTTGGCCTGGGTTTTGTCACCGAAGCGCTGATACACGGAGCGACGTATGACCTGGAGGCTCCGATCTGGCTGGCTTTCGCCAGTCTGTTCAGTGGGCGCCGGCCTGGCGTTTTTCTCGCGCCGGGCTTGGGCAGTGCGATTGGGCGATTGAGCTGTCGTTTTGGATTTAGCGGGTTTTTTCTGCTGCCCCCCAGCCTCCTTGTCAGGGGTCTGGAGCAGGGTGTTGATGGGATTTTCCGTGGCTGCCACAGTGTTCCCCCCGGGTGCCTGGCTTGCGAGGGCCTTGGCGAAGACCCCTTCCAGGGCTTTGAGAACGTCTGGATGCTGCATGGCGGCAGCAAAAGTCGGAACATGGGGGACAGGGGCTTGAGTCCCTTGCTGGTTGCGGCGAGAAGTTTCCTCGCCGTTGTGCCGGCGAGGCTGAGCGCCGGACTGCTGGGTTGACTCGTCGTGATTGGATGAAGTCATCTTGTACGGGACTCGAGGTAAGAAAGGGTGAGTGACTGGGGCTTCACAAGATCGAACAATTGACACCATATAACTTATGGGGCCCTTCCTCTAGCGCCAAACTGTTGACGAGCGTTTTCGGTCAACGGTTAAAAATAAAGGATGCCGAAAGCAAAAGACTGAAAATGGGAGAATGGTTCGGTTTAATTACGATTTTATTAAACGATCACGAGGTCGGCCTCTCGTACGAGGTCGGCACTTGCGATATACTTACAATTCTTACAGCGAGTTTCTTACAGTTTTTAGAGAGAGAAAGTAGAGAGAAGGCAGAGTTAGTTGGATTTCAACAACCAAAATAAATGAAATGAGCTGCTATTTATAGTAGTCTTTAATGTGGCACTATTCAGCTACTGTTCACCGGTCTTGTCGCAAAGTAATCTAGCAGGGCAGTTCGGCGTCTCCCTGACGTCTATTTAATGCGATTTGAGGTTTCTGCAATCATTGACTGTCAGGCATTTAATGCAAGCATGGGGGGCATTTAATGCTGGCAGGCTTTCTTGTCTAGGCTTGCTTGTAGAGTGACAGGCTACGACTGCCCGTCCCATCGCCCAATGATGACCTTCCAAGTGGGAATATTTTAATGTTCACCGAGCCCCGCCTTGGCCCGCGGGGTGGCCGCTTCGCACCTTCAGGTCGACACCTTTCTCGAATGTTATCACCTTAAGTCCCTGATCCATTCTCTAACCCGACACCCATCCAGCCCGGCTCTCTCTACACGAGCCGGGGTGCCGGCATCGAAAAGCGCTCCCATGGAGATCCTGAGCACTTTGCTTCCCGGTCCAGCTTGGCACTTCCTCTTTAGATCGGGTCCTAAGCCCGGGTTTTGGTAGGCGACATCTTCCCGGTTCGCTCCTGGCTAACTCGGGTATCAACAGTGGTTTTTTT